TGACTGGAGTGAGGCAGTGATCTCCGGCCGTTTCTTTTGGAGCTTTTTAGTATTTAAGGGGACGTAGGATCGAGAGCCTGTTTCGCCAGCCCCAGCTTGGCTTCCCTGGCAGCTCCGGTCTGGGAAAATCCTAATTTATGATGAGGTGGAGGCCATTTCCTGCCACAGGAGCTGGTCCCAGGCCTCCTCCTCCTCCTCGCGTGCGTTAGATTACATGCAGCATCGACGCACCGTGAGCTTGAAACTGGCTTTACTCGGCCCAGAGCTCCTGAGCAGACACCGCTGCTCTCCTCGAGCGTCTGCCTGCCTCTCAGCACGGTGGCTTTGTGGTGGTCACGTCGTGTCGTGCTCACGACGGGAGGCTTTGATGGCAGACTGCGGACTGTTCATCTTTAATAATGCTAAAGCCACCTAGAAGAATGCAGAAGAAGTAGGACTTTGGGGCCACGATTAACCGGCGGGTCCAGCGGGAGAGACTCAGCTTGTGTGTGGACCGTCGCAGGGTCTGACCCTCTCGTGTTTGTGCCCAGGGAGCCGGCAGATGCTCATTCGCGCCCTGGAGCTGCTCGCCGAGGACCTGACACTCGTGGGAGAGGCGATCTCAGCAGACGTCTGGGATGACGGCAGTCTGTTCGCTGCTGACCTGGTGAGCACCGGGGGTTTCCTCGGCTGAGGAGCAGTATTTTATTTTTATTTTGGTCTTTTCCAGCTGGTTTTCATGGTCTCGTTAGTCGTTGAAAGTGTTCTTTCCTGTAGACACAGGGCTGTGTGTCCTCTGGGCAAATGGCGTGCGTGCGGTTTCGGAGTGCGTGTGGACAGCAGCGGCCAGCGGCCAGTCTGTGGTATCCTTGCCTACCCCTTTTTTGAATAGTTAACCCTGGAGGATGGGGTGCAGGGGTGGTGGGGTGATGTTCCACCCTCTCCCTCACGTGACTTGCGTTGCTTCGGCGCCTCCCACTCTCCCGCCACAGGGGCGGCTGCAGGCACGGGGCTCGCAGTCCATGACTGTGCAGCATCTTGTGTGAATTTGCTCCTCTCCGTGAGGAAAGGCAGCATCTTTTTGTAACTTCAAGGCCCAATTGTTCTTCTGTCTACTGTCCACGGCTTTTCCTGTTTTCTTTTGAATCATTGTTTTTTGTTCGTTTTCATTTGCCGGGTTCGCTGACAGTTCCTTACACATGTAAGGCGATTATCTTTCTGAAACAAGGTGTGGTTTTCCCTCAGGTTGAGTGTGTTTGTTTCTCTTTTGCTCCTCTGACGCTTTTGGCCACACGGAAGTGCATTTTCATTTAGCTGGACTTACTGGTTTCTTTTTTAAAAAACTGGTGTGGGGCCCTCCCTGGTGGTGCAGCAGGTTACAGCACAGCACTAAGAAGCTAAAGCCACTTCCCCATGAGTTTGATCCCTGCCTGCCCCGGAGGTGACCACAGGGCGCGGCAGACCTCTCCTGACCGCCCGCTGCTCCCCTCAGCAGTGTACCTCGTCGATCTGCCTGTTCTGCTCCCCACTCTGTCTCTGGGGAATCCTCTCACCCTCCGCATCTCTGGCCTGTACCCCAGTTCTGTATGCATAAATAAATCTTTAAAAAAACTGGTGTGGGATTTTGAATAACACTGGAAAGATTGTCTCCACATCTGGGGAAAAACATACTTTACCTTCCATTTCTTGAAGCCTACGTTTTTTGTCTTTAGGAGTATTTTTCTCGTAGAGGATTTTGCACATTTCTGACTCTTGATTCATATGTATGTGTGAATGAGTGTGTATGTGGGCGTGTAACAGCTTTGTTGAAGTAGAATTGACATAGAATAAACCACACACTTTTTAAAAAAGGGTTTTGATACATTTTTTTTTAAAGATTTATTTATTTGTGCATACAGAACTGGGGTACAGGCCAGAGGCTCAGGGGCAGCAACAGGCTTCACCAGAGACAGAGTGGGGAGCAGAACAGGCAGATCAACGAAGTACACTGCTGAGGGGAGCAGCGGGCGGGCCAGGAGAGGTCTGCCGTGCCATGTGGTCACCTCCGGGGCAGGCGGGACTCGAACTTATGTGGAAGTGGCTTTAGCTTCTCAGCGTTGTGCTTTAACCCGCTGTGCCACCAGGGAGGGCCAGGGTTTTGATACATTTTAACATATGGGCACACCCATGATACCTATTAGTTGGCATTTTGGAGAATTTTGTGGGAATGACTCACTGTATGCGTTTTGTTTTCTTTCAGCGGGATTTTGAAATCCTGCCCTGTGGCTGTGTTGTCAGGAGTTCATATTTGTGCTGGATCTTTGGTTCTTTGTTATTTGTATGGAAGAAAATTTTGGAAAACATGGCATCATATTTCATTTTCTCTGGAAGAAATGTTTCGATAAGTGTTATTGTCCACGAGTAAACAACACGTGTCCAGGAGCCTCAGGCATCCCTACTGTAACAGAATTTAAGGGATCTGTGAGCTAATGAATTGTGGCTCCGTTTAATTGGAACCCATATCTGCTTTTTATTTCAGTATATCATCATTCATCATACTTAGTCTTTTATTTTGAAATGATCTAATCAGCTGGCTTTCAGTGAAGAATTGGTGTTCTATTGTCTCTATTAAAGTAAATTGGTATCTTACATCTCTTTTTCTTTGGGAACAAACTTTGTTAGTGGTAAAAATATATATATTGCCTCTCGTAGTTACCGATACTTTTCTCTATATTATTCTGACCTAGATCTGTCTGTCTGTATTTTCTTAAGCTATGTTACAGAATGTCTGAAGTCCTTATGAGTAGAGGTTAGAACACAAAAAGTAAATTAAATATTGATATCTACTTAATGCCAAAAGCCCATAGTTATTTTTTTAATATTGTAAATCTCTTGCAAAGAGGAAGAAATACCTATTGTATAATAGGAAAACTACATTGTTCCAAGTCCTTCAGTTGCTTTGTTGATGGGATAATGATTCTTAATCTTCATTTTTCTCTAGTCCTTAAGGTTGTCACGTTATTTTGTAGTACTTTTAAAGCCCTTCACCATTGAAAGTTTTCAGAAAATGAGTTTTTCCTTAGATCTGTGAAGAGTGTTTTATCATTTGCTTCTTAAATTATAATTTCTTGGCCAGAACATATATCTGCAAAAGTTATTCACTTTTAACTTTTGGCTGCTGATCTCTTATGATTCAATGAATTATTTTTACTTTAAAGGTTAAATCTGTTGCACAAGTGCCAACTGGTATGTTAGAAAAGTTAACTAAAATGATGCTGCTTGAAATTGTCTTTGATTTACTTTCACTTTCTTAAAAAAAAGTGCCTCCTAGGAAAAAGATCTCATTCCTCCCCCTCATGTTAATACAAACAATTAGGTAGAATTTGTTAATGTTCCTGCGTTTGCCAAGTTTAAAAAGAAAGGTAAAAGCAGTACTTTCGTCAGCTCATTAAGGGAACTATCCAGTGTGTTGCTGCTCATTCAGAAGCTAATGCCCAGAGGGTTCCGTTAGCGCTCACGTCTGGAATTCCCGCACTCTGCGGAAGCAGGGCCGAAGACCACCGTACCCCTCCCCGCGAGACTCTTCATTTCAGCTGATGTAAATGAAAGTTTACTGGAGTCGTGTTCGGGTTGGATTCTGGCCGACGCGTTCAGGATCGTCACACTGTTGTGCCATCAGTGCCATTGTCTGTCCCCCCAAGTTTTCGTCGCTTTAAACGGACACTGTGTCCACTGAACACCACCTCCCCAGCCCTCCTTCGCCCCAGCCCCTGGCATCTGCCTCTCGCCTCCTTTCCTCATGAACTTGCCCACTCCTGGCGCCGTCCGTAAGCCGAGCCACGCCCCGTGGGCCTCTCTTCATGTGGCTCGCTCTCCTGGGTGCTTGCCGGGCTCACCCCGCTTGCCGCCGGCGTCGGAGCTACCCTGGTGAGGCTGAAGGCCGTCTTGTCTGTGCGCACCCCTGGATTTGTGGCCGGCAGACAGACACGGCTCTCTCTGCGGGCGGTCGCCCCTGTGGTTCAGTCCCCGAGCCTGAGCCTTTGCGTGGCCCCGCAGTTGGCCGGCTGGACCCGGGCCTCGTGGCACATCTGTGTCATTGCAAGGAGCTGCCCTGCTGGCTCCCCCAGCGATTCCGCGGGACTTTGCGGGCCCCACAGAGACGTGCCAGGGCTCCCGTCTGTCGGATTTCTTGCCCACACCTGCGTCTGGTAGCGGCCGCTCCAGGAGCTTCGTGCAGGCGTTGCCCAGGCGGCTTTTCTTCTTCATGCGATTTTTATGGGTCTCGCACTTTGGGTTTGTTTCCTGAATATCCATCCTTGAAAGAACATTTCTGACATAAATCAGGTTTTTGTCCTTAGCTGACCGCTTCTTTACCGTTTTTATTTTTCATAGCATGGAAAGTGGAGCGTGAAGATTTTGGTGTTTTTTTTCCCCTCTCCTCTTACGGATGTCTTTTTACCAGCTCTCTTGGGGGAGGGCTGGGAGGTGTGTTCACTCTGCCTGGTTATGATTTGCAAATTAATCTGTATTTATAGTTCTCTTTCCGTTTTTATGCAGAATTTTGCATGTTAAAGCTAGAACTTCTATTTCAGTAGTAAAGGGTTGTCAGAAAAGCCATGATGTGTTTTTTCTGTTTTCTACACGAAAATGTATCAAGGGCCCTCCTGGGTGGCACAGCTGGTTAAAACTCACCACTAGAAGCTAGCAGCAGCCGCCTCAGCACAAGTTTGATCCCCTCCAGGGAGTGACTTGGCGCGGCAGACCTCTCCTGCCTCCCCGCTGCTCCCCTCAGCAGCATGTTTCAGTGGATCCGCCTGTTCTGCTCCCGCCTCTGTCTCTGGTGAATCCTTTCACCACTCCTGCACCTCTTGCCTGCACCCCAGTTCTGTGTGCATAAATACATAAATCTTTAAAAAAAAAAAACAACAAAACAACCAATATGTATCATGGCTTTCCCCACCCAAGACTTTCTCTGGAAATTGGTTACCACAGAGCATTTTCCACTTGGAACAATGTTACCACCTGAGCAGTCTTTCTACCATCTGACCTTTGTGGATAGTCAGCATTATTGGACTTTCTCTTTTGTTTCTTTGCAACTTTGGAATCAACTTTAAGGCCTGGATCACACCCCGGGACAAGGGCCCCCACCGTCCTGCACTGTTCTGGCCGGCGGTCACCCCAGTCACCAGTCACGGAGGGCTCAGCTCTGGGACTGTGACGTGCTGGGAACTGGGGGGAGTTTGTGATACATCAGACTTTTGCATACATGCACTTGATTTGTTGTTAGGAGCATCCTAGTTAACACTGAGCTCGTTCATTTCCCCCACTGAAATCTGTCTGCTATGATTCTTACCCTTTAAAAACGATCGCAGGTGGGTTTTTGGAAGCTGTTTTGGTCACTGGGTGGCCACTGTCCTAGGGACGTTTGCATCCTGGCCCTGACAACCTTGTGCTCACGTTTGCAGAAGGAGAAGCTGCTGTCGGTGCTGGGGTCCCTCGGGGACACGCTGTGTCAGCACAACAGCGCTGGTGGCATGGAGCTCCCCGCCGCCGTGCTCGTGCACCACAGAACGGCCTTCGTCAGCATCTCGCTGCTCGCCCTGCGGCTGCTGCAGACGCTGCTCCCGGTTGAGAAGGTGAGGCGGGCTGTGGGCGGCTGTGGGCGGCTGTGGGCGGCTGTGGGCGGCTGTGGGCGGCTGTGGGCGGCTGTGGGCGGGCTGTGGGCCCCGGCGTCGAGTCTGCGCAGTCCTGGGCGCCCCGGTCGCGGGAGCTGCAGAAGCTGGGGAGCATTCCTCAGTGTCTTGACAGATCCTTTGACAGGAAAAAACACAGTAATTCTGTAAAGGCTTTTTCCAGGTAATTTTTAAAAACGGCGGCGTAACGTGTAGACAAGTGCACAGTGACCCGGCCCGCGGGTCGAGCACAGCAGCCCCAAGAGCCCTCCCTGCCCACCCCGCCAGCAGCCTCCTCTCCCTCGTCAGGACGCCCGGCCTACGACTATGCGCTTGCTCATGATCGGTGCTCGAGGCCCATCACTGTAGTTATCACCTGCCGACTCTGGAGGTCCTGACCGCCGGGACTGCCCCAGGGCGTTTGAAGTGGACCTGGATTGTTTTAAGCCATCTTGCTGACTGTTTTTAAAGGGCGCCACATCTCTGAGCTTGAATGTCAGTGAAAAATCCCGGTCATTGATCCACAAGTGCTCAGC